ATTATTCAAAATGTCATTGCTTTCTTCAAACAAAGATTTACTGATCAAAATAGAAAACATTTAAATTGATACATTTCGCAAACAAGGAACAAGTTTATTGATTCCAATTCCATAAAATTCTGGAGTTCTGGAAAAAAAAAGTCCTGTCGCCCTGTGATGAATCAGCTCGGCTGCAGACTACCGAAAGGTCAGCATAACTTTGTAATTTCGGCTTGGGAAGTGCTGTGGAGCCTGATCGAAATCCAACTATTGAGCTGAACGTCTCCGGTTGTCATGCGGAATCTAGTTGTCGTCGCATGTCACAAACCGTTCGAGAAAAAGGTCGTTTTTGTTGTGCAGAATAAGAACGGACTACAATTCGAAACGGCGATTTTTTTTATCATCGTTAAATTCGTGCGGCACCCACTTATCGAGTTTTTTTGTCTTTCCTATGCGATTTGAGTGAGAGGAAATCGTTCATTTGCTTACGCTAAGCTGTTCTACAAGTTCTCGAACAGTTCTTCGCGTAATTAGTTCCACTAATACCTTCAATTCGTTCTTTAACTTCTTCGCTTCAGAATGATAGGTTTATAACATTATGTTATATAAATTTCTATTATATGATGTAATTCGCCATTTTATTATCTAGCATAAAGCAGTACCGTGTGTCAGCGTGCAACCCTTAGTCAGTACACCGAACCATGTGGAGGCCCACACAAGGTTGCGACGTCATAGCAGCGGTAGCTCGTTTTCCTGTAGTCGCAGTGAAGCAGATTCGGAAATTAGCAAGTAAGTCTTGTTCATTTTTCAGTTCAGTTATTTTGTTTGTATTGGTCGTTATATAGTTAGATAAACTTTGTGCTAGGACTATGCCCACTGCTAGAACATCTGTAGAATGCAGGAAGTTGTTAGTTTACTTTTCCAACTAAAGTGTTATATTTTTTTCAGAGATGATCGCGAACGAGTTGCACCGTCTGGTTTAATGACTGCTTGTCGAGTAATGGTGAGATATACTCAATACATCTGAGTTTAGTACTGTTGGCTGTAAGGGGCTAATATCTTATACTACTTTCTCAAGAGTGTCGAACCAATTATGAGAAGAGTTCAGTTTTCTGTTCTCATAAAATGCATAGCGGCATTGTTGCCCATCATAGTTGTAGAAATCTCATATCTCTAAACTTGTTGTTTTGAATGGTAATTAGCATCATTTAGACGCAGAAACAGCCGTCTAGTGATCAACCCGGACCTTCTGGTGTTTGTACTTCCTCGTTCAGTTCACCTTCACATTCTCCAGCAGTAGGAAATTCACATGAGGGGCAGTATGATACTCCGTCTTCTCCTTCAAGTAATGGCAGGAGGAAGTTTGCTTTATTTCAACAGGGGCTGCAAAAAGTTGGTGATAAAGTGAGGAAAGGTGAGTTGAACATACTAGAGCGTTTTTTATGAGTCTGCTTAATGACCTGCAAGATTTCACTGGTAGACTGAAAATCCTAGTGCACTTTCAATTCAGGAATGACAGCTTCATCATTTCGCCAGATTCCACATTCGTCGACCATTTCGGACATCCTCAGTGAGTGGAATTCATCCAGGAAAGAAAACGAAGCCCAACCAATTATGTCAAACAGTCAAAGTGAACATGGTATCACTGCCATATGCGTACTTACTTTCAATTCTTTATATTTTTTAGTAATCAGTATAATAGGTGTTTTAGCAAGCTGATACTTTTTATTTTTTCACGTTACTTAAGAATTAATGTACTTGATCTGTCGACCCATCTACAGGTTTAGAGAAAATAAAATATTTTTTATGTCCAGTAATTTTTCTATTTGCATTGCGTCTCGCATTTTTGCAGTACGTCATGTAAAAGCAGCGAATCTTGCAATTAGTTGACCAACTATTTTTGTAGGTTTTTCGCAGAGGCATTCATGTTCTTGAAAATATGGTTCTTAGAGCTCTCATAGTGCATTGTTTTGACGATCATTTTCTACTGAGTCGCTCATCCAATGCGCCTGATTGAGAAAATTTGGTAAAATAGAAAGTTATCGCTGCATTGTTTTTGTACTATTGAATAGGAGCATTGTAGCAATTTTATCATGGTTGTGGGTTTCTAGCACGACAAGGAGCGCTCACTTCATTTTTTGGATTTTCTTTTCGCAGGAAGTCGTCAGTTATAAGCTGAATTAGCGCTTGTGACTAAATCGTTATGTAATAACTGGACGTATCGCATATTTTTTTTTGTCTAGCACTGTATTATCTACGTATTTTCTTGCCTTTATTTTCTTCATATCAGAGTACGAGTTCACTTGCTTGCTATGAAATGAAATTAATGTATGCTTGCACACAAGTTTTTTAAATTGCAGATATTGCACAACGTTCTGCTGATGACATTCTAGCGAAATATCAACCTGCTGCTACACCATATGCCACTGAGGTGCCAATCGAACTGGCATCGTCTGCCTCCGAAAGTGCCCCATCTGAACAAGTGATCGCTTATTATTCTCCGGATAACGTTACGGAGTGTAGGTGAATGACTGTAAATGTTTAGATACTTGTCTACAAGTCTGTCTAGATACCTAGAATATAATTCCCCACATGTCTTAATCTCTCCTGTCGCATTTCTCATTAGTTCTTTTCTCTCGCGAGCATTATATATGGAATTGGTGTGGAATTGACTTCATACACAACTCGACCAGAAGACGACGGTGTGCAGCTTGTTCACGTTGTATACGGATAGTGTGCATCATTTTATGAGCGATTTTTGAAGTCGACTTTCTTTTTTTCCAAAGAAACTAGGATATTCTTACTTCGTGTTCAGTGGTTAAAAAAAAATGAGTATGCTAGTCGCATCTCTACGGTTTTCTAACAAATTCAGATCTCACATCTTATAAAAAATAAGAATAAGTTATTTGCAGAGCAGGTGATCACGGTGGTTTGAAAGTGTTTAGTTTTGCAGTGGGGCCCAGTTAATACCATAATACTACTATGATTTGTTGACGTTTCATGTACATGCATTACTTACACCGTGACGTACTGCAACATTTTAAAGTCATTAAATACTCTTTGTTTTCATTTCGAGAACACCATCTGAGTTTTAGGTTTCGTATCCCAGCTCCTTAGCGGTCATCCTGAATAGGCACTGAGCTCTTTATTCATTGTTTTCGTCTTCCGTAGGAAAAGTATTGTTTATCGCATCAGTATTGCCTTAGTGCACTGTCTTTATCAATATTATTGCTACTCGGGAACGCTGTGAAAGTCGTTCCGAATACATCCGATAATGCGTATTATTAGCAATGTATCAGATTCCTTTGCCTTACCTACTCTTCGCAATCGTTATCCTTTTCTACCATAAGTTCTCCCGTTAGTCGTCTAGTTGTTCTGGTAGCCAAAAAAAACTTCCGATTATCATTCTCGTCTGCCTAACTTCAGGAAAGAATTGGTATGTATAAGGTGACATTTATAAATCATCAAGCGGGGGGCGACATCTTCAAGCAATACTTATTTTAGAGCGTTTCTTGATGCGAAGAGAAAGTTGCGTCTTGTCTTGTGCAGTGTGGGTAACCTTCCATGTATGCCATTTGATGGAACATGTCGGTAAGTGTGAGATTTTTCTAAGCTGGTCGTTCTTTGAATAATAGTTGTCGTCTTAACTTAAATAACTTCCAAACCCCCTGTTTTGCTAAACTAATTTCCCATGTGTCTTCTTCGGTATATTGATTGTTTCGTCTCTTTTTTAGTGGAATGAAGATTGAAAATGAACGGGAACAATTGGGAATGTTACTGCGTACTCTTCTGGCCGAAGCTGTAAACAACCGAGAACAAGGTCTTGTTGCCCATACCAGAGAAGTTATACGATGTCTGCAGATCTTTGACAATAAAGGGTTGGTAGCAAACTCATTTTCTGTTATTCTTTCTAAGAAGATATTAAATTTACTTGTTCGGCTTGTTTAAATTCAGTTGCAGTACTGCACTTAGACCACCAATATGACTGGTTTTCCACTATCCATAAGGAAAAGGAATCAAAAAATTGTTTGCTTAGGATTATTTTAACCCCTTATGTCACACATATGGAACACCTGACTGGAAATAATTTCATAGTCAGGGTTTGAACACACATATCTCTATTGGTGTTTAAGAACCCTAACAAAACACAGACCGTGGACTGAATAGAGCAATTGCAAAGCATGATTTTTCACAAAATGGGGCGATGATGTCTCCAAAAAGCATCGTTGAAATTTTACTGGTGTGCTCATGTTAAAAACAAAAGAATTTTTTGTCTATATTTTGTGGGGTTCTATTGGATCTAATTGCAGAAAATGTGGATTGAATCCAACGCCTTAAACTTTTCATACTAGGCATTTCATACACGGCATTCAGTTACTGTTTTCTTAATAGTTATCAAAATCCGAATTTTTAGTGTCCATAAGCTGTTGCGTGTCCTAAGAGAAGAAAATCGTAAACGGACATCATATTTACTCTACTTACAACAATCGAGGATAACTCTACTGCGTTTGACCAGCTACATTGACAAACTTATACTCAGGATGCAGAGGTTAGTGGTATCGATTTATAATAAAAAGTGATTTTTACTTCTCTAGAGACTTTTGTTGCACGCATATAGAAGTGCTATGTCAATTTCTTTTGAAACTTCTGTGGAACCACGCAGTCCGCCTTACTATCACAAGAGTTCTTTTATGGATAACGAACTGTGCTACCCAGTAGGATGTTCATTCTCTGCGAGCGCAGAGAATTAGTTTAACTATTGCAATTATCTATGTCCTAGTCACGGGGCAAAATCACCTGCTAGGTCCGACTGACAAGTGTGACATGGGAACTATAATTTTTCTTAGGCTTACTTCAATTCGTTTATTATACATACTTTTATCAATGCATCTTTTACCTTTTACCTTGCATACATACTCTACTATTCTCTTGGCTACATATGAAACCTATTACTTCCATCTATTTCTTCTTTCTGCGAAAACGTACCCATTGTTAATTTGGCGATCTCTATTGTCTATCGAATGTTCAGTATAGACAGCGGTAGGTAAGTCTGGCTTAGATGTGGAGATTTTTTATTTTGGGCAACACACTTGTCTTGTGTACAATTTCTGTTATTTCAATTGCATGGTTTCTGACAAATCGCTCCGTGGTATGAAATCTAGTTATACGCTAGCACACTCAAAATATATGTAAGATTGTAATTTCTGGTATGGGTAGACGGGTCAGTACGACACAAAAGAGGCAAGGATTTCATCCTCTGGAGCCACCTTAGTGGCAAAGTAAGCGCAGAGTGATTGTGCATTTAATTCTTAGTAGAATGCCTGGATATATGCCATTCGGCTTCACTGCTAATCAAGTTCCTGTTTTTCATGTCAGGTGATACAGGAGATCGAAAGCCTGATTATTAGTCATTTTTGGCTGCAACGGCGACCTACTTTGTTGTATTTTCCCATTAGTTATCGATTGATGTTAACCGCTAAGTCCAATTAATGAAGCACAATAGATTTATTATTAGTTATTTTGGGATAGGAATGTCAGATGTTGTTGTATGCTGGAACGCTGCTTAATTTTTCTTTTTGCTCTGTCGAAATTTTACTTATATCCGTATTAAGTTATATTTTACAAACGAGATCTTTAGGGAAAAGGCGCTTGTGGAAGAATGTCTCGTGGAAGTACTGGTTCGTTTCTACTTAGAAAACAAGGATCAGCAAATGAAACGGTTTTTGCAGGAGTTCGTTGTACTCAATGCTCAGGTTTGACACAAATCACAATTGTTTGTTTGGTTAAGTTTCAAATGTTTTTCTTATACCTTTAGGATGAGAAGACAGATTGTCTTTTACGAACATTATCTGGTATGTATGCGCGCTTACCAATATCATCAATGTGGCAGTGTGCTCCGGCTCACCTTGTAGTGTATGCGCGAAAGACAATCGAGAGAGTATTCATGGCACAAATTCACGCCTTAGCGTTCTACCCAAATTTGGATGCTGATCGACATCGTGATGAGTGCGTAATTTTCTTGTAACCAAAACAATATAAAACTGTTTAGTACAATTACATTAGAGGCCATTCTAACCTTAAATCCATTAAGTAAATTTTTTCTTCTCGTTTCAGGTTATTCTCAAAGTCCCTAGCTCGACTATCTCGTTCAATTCATCCTGGCCATCCTATGCTAAAGATCCCCAACGTGAGTATAATTTTGCGTTCGGTTATGAGAAACCGTTAGTTTAGCTTTTTTAGCTAATTAGATTAGTACCTTAACAGGTTCTTCATGGTGAAGCTCCTTGGCCATCTGCACAAGCAGAGATAAGCATTATAAACGCTTATAAGTCTGCTCGGGATAAATTGGGCTGTGTAGTAAGGTTTCTATTTATGTTTACCTTATTCATTAACATAATAGTCTGTGCCATTAGAGCTATGTGTCTAAATATGTTACAGGTGTTGTGAGACTATCAGCAACCTAATTTCAATGGCGCCTGGCATGGGAGCGGCCGCTGCCGATGACGTCACTCCAGTGCTTGTTTATGTCCTCATTCAGGTAAATTGTCCACATTAAGTTAACCCGAAATATGACATTTATATTAGAAGCTGTTATGTGAATTTTTAGGCAAACCCACCTTCAATTCTTTCAAATGTTCAGTATGTACAGGGGTTTGGCGGGTCACTTCTTGATGGAGTTGAAGGGTATTGGTGGACACAGTTCACAGCTGCTATCGAATTCATCAAAACGCTCTTGTAAATTCTGATTTTTTTTAATACTAGAAACTAATTTAGCGAGCTGGTTTCGCTTATTACCTTTTTATCGCAGCAGTACATTACTATCATTTTTCTTCTGTGACATAACAGTGGATTTTCATTTTTTGTAACATACGTGCCCTAAGGATTATCGATTTTAAAATATTGAATACTCGCTCAATAACCAATAGACATTTTTAGTCCTGTAAACAGTTTGAGTTTTATCAAATGATGTTGAAGTTTGTTTTATGTACTTTTCAAACTTTGGTAGGTGTGATTCGTGAACTTCGTCTACAAATCTAGTTTGCTGCAGTTCATTGTGCCGTTTATTGGAAACTTATCATGAATTCTGTGTTGCATACGTAATAATGAAATATTTAAATAAAATATCATCGGAAGAGTGGATTGCTTTCAATATGAATTGGTGACTGCTGAAACCCTGATAACATTCCAGTGAACAACGAATTTGAGTCAAAAATAACTGGAATGAATCGTAGTTCTTCTATAACATTCGTAATAACGAGTTGACGATTTGGAATGGAGGGATTTGTAATCACCTAAGAACATCTTTGGAGCATGTATTACCGTTATTAGAAATGTTTTACAATGCACAATTAATTGGTCTCAGGTTCGATCCCGCTTCACGAGATTACTAAGCCCACCATCTCTTCGAGGAAAGGAAATTAATCCTGAGCTTGTCTGGGAGAATCACGCTATTAGTTTGCCACATATTAGTGGACCTTTGGAGGTTATTGTATGAGCCAGATCTTCATTCAATAGGCTCTACGAAGCTTGATGAAGTCGTGTGCATACTGCTTGCCTCAGAGGTTGGTTAGCACAGAAAGCTTTATCCTTTATCTATTACATCGATTTTGGAGGATATCTGGAGCGTAGTGGCCAGAGGTCACCTACAATACACAGGTTCGGCGGCCCGTTTGATCTCAAATTTTTGGCTTGTCAAACCTTCCGTCCATCCGAGAACGAGGACTTAGAAATGGACTTATCTGGGGATAAAAGTACTGCTTTGATGCATCGGTGGGCTATCGCAAGTTTTTATGTAGGTGGAATATCCATGCATTCGCCTTTACGGTATTATGAATTAAGTCGTATGCATAGTTCATCTGGCAGAGATTGGTCAGCCACAGAGGGTTTATCATTTCATTCGTTTTAATACGTAAATTTGTGGAAATTCCATTTTTTCCATATTTTTCATCCAGGGAGAACTCGCGTTTGAAGAACATGTGTTCTCGTCATTGAAAAGATTATGAACACAACCTTTCTCAAATTGAGGGTGCCTCTTGTCAGCACTCGACTTTCGCCGTCGTTTTGTCGATCGCGAATGTTTGTTCGACATGAATGGCCCATTTCCACACTAATACTTATACTAACGGCTCTAAGCAAAAAAAACTTATTGTTTAAAAAATCAATACAAAGGTAGGGTTTTTATACTAGTCGTGTTATTTAATTCAAATAATGGAGTTTTTTCCGATGCGTAGTTCGTAAATGCTAAATCGAAAGGCATAACGAAAGGAAAATGACATCGGACTGTAGATCCAACTATGCTTTACGCCTCTCGTATATTAACATATTACAATCGCACGCGGGTATCATTTCTCTTGTGTAAACGATTGTGGGAAAACGTATTCAATTCATCACATTCAATATCTTCCAAATGTTACGTTTTTCGATCTCCTAACAATCAAGTTCAATTTGTTTAGCGGGACATTCTATTAGTAAATCTGTATGATCGTCTTCAACATAAACAATAAGATCAAGATAAATTAGTTAGTTGATATTTAGCCCTCAAGCTGTTTCCCTACCATCATCATACATTTTCTGCATAACTTGAATTAGTATGCAATAACCTTGTCTACCTTCTCAAATAACTGTAATTAGTTTTGGTCTAAGTGAACTTCTCGAATGAAGATTGCCATTATTGTGCATTCTAAATGAGAGCGAAACTAACTAATTGAACTCAGTGGATGATAAATTGTTATATATGTAAAAGGAACGTATTACTCCAGATCTTTTTTAAATTCCTACTCGCGTTCACACCTTTTGAAATGACAACGTTATGATGGTCTCGGAAATTTTGCGAGTTTTGAATTTGAAATATCCGATCCGTAGATATTTAATGAACGCTAAAGGACTAGGCTGTTGGCGATCGATCAACCTCTAGAGGATGCGCGATGCATTCTTCTTAATTAAGGATCGTTAGAGGTGATTTAATACATATTTGCTCTATATATTGACTTGAGATGGCCTACCAATGTATCGGTTGAGTGCTGTTCTCTTTCCTTCCTAGTCTGCTGCCCATTTGCCGACCCCGGAGGAAGCCTTGTTGAGCGGTGGGCGCTGGATCGAACCAGTGACCATTTGTTTATTGCAGGGCATCTCTAACCTACACAATGCCTTCTGGGTAAAATCAAGCACAACATTTTAGAACGTAATCTGTCTAACCTGTTATATGTAATCTTGTTGACGAAAGTGAACGCTACATACATGAATTGCCTGAAAATGTAGTATTTCAAAGCTTTCCCTTTGCTTCGTTCTTTTTGCACTGTTCCGTCGTCCGCGATATTGTCGTAGATGTGTTCCTTATATGGCTAACTCGTAGACGTCTTTCATATCACTACAAATTCTTATCGGATCTTCGCATTAAGAAAAATCACATCTCATTCTTCTTTATGTGTTTTGAACAACGTTTAATAATTTATTTGGTTTAGACTCTGAGTATGCATAAAAAATTTGTGCTTAAATGCACAGCATAGTTATTAGATGTAGGACAGTTCTTTAAAGACCAGTAATGAGGAAGTGCAACCATATAAATTGAATTTGGACCAAAAAAAGACTAGAAAAAGGAAGAACTAAGCATAGCTGTGGAATATTGATAGTTACAAGATTTCTAAAAGGTATAAATACCTTCTCTGTAGAAAACACAGGAGAAAATGCTTAAAAAGAAGAAGTGAGATCATTTCGTATAGTCTGTTGCAAAGTTCTTCCATGGGAATGTCAAATAGTAAATCCACAAATTTGCTAATTCCTTTATTTTTCATCCATAAACCTTGAACATTCCTCACCTTCGTTCACATCGTAAAAAATCCATAGGCTTTTTTCGTGATGTTTTTAGAAACCTAGCAAGTTATACACGGACCAGTGAGGTTCTCATATTTCCTATTATGAAATTAAATAGAATTCAAAGAAGATCCAGAATATAGAAGAAACGTTTTGCTTGTTAAATATACCGCATAAGAGCAGAGAAAACTGCAAATGACAATAAAAAGAAGTCACGGTTGAAAACCACCTTGTTGAGTTAACCTAGTATTAAGTCGCATTTGATCCGGTACGTGATTCTCAAGATGACGACGTTCACTCGAACTTCACATTATTTATGGTATCAGTTCTTTTTATAGAACTTATATTTCGGTGAATAATTCATTCATTCATTTTTCTTGAGCACTCAGCAAATATGCAGCATATTTGCTGCGAGACAATAAATATAAGTTTAGCTCACTGATTACTGTAGAGCTGAAGAAAACAGATAATGGTCATCTACGGAGGACCTCGCTTTATCACTGCAAAAATTGTGCGTTTTTTGAAGCTGCTGTTTTCCCACTTTTTAAACATAACGTCGACGTGATGCGAATAATGTTTTTTCGGAATTTTTAACATGAGCGCAACATCTGGCGACAAAAATGACACATTCGCATTGAGAAACGTGTTCTGCCGAATTAGATCCCGTATGTTCAAACGCTTCGCAGCTGGAGAATGGAACCACGATGAGAAAAAAACCGATAGCATTAAGAAGAAGAAAAAAAAGATGGTTCACTTGTTCTAGGAAATTGGCGCTTTATCTTGTAAAGACGGGAGCGTTTGTGTCCCCATGCCAGAGATCCGCAGTTCGTAGTGGCTTTCAATTCAGTTAAATAGAGAGGTGTGTGTTTAATTAGGAATGCAGATAATTATGTTTAAGATTCACACCTGAGTCGTTTTTCTGCCATATGGGGTCTGCATATGGACCGTATTGTCTTCAATGATTTCAGCGAATCTTTAATAACTACGACAAACGTGCATAAGTGAATATGGATGTGCTTTTCAATGGAGCTCGAGTCGTTTTTTCTATTGGAATTGTCATGTCTCTTCATTAACCATTGGCAGAGCCTATAATCTTGGCTGATTATCATATTTATCATGTACTAATAATACGGTAGTATCATTAATCGCATAGAATAACTCGCCGAAAACCAAATGTCATCATTGTCCGCCTCTTTGGCATTTTTGCCACAATATAACAGCAAGTGGTTGTCTTGCTTCTTCATTATTATCATTATCATTATTCATCAATCGTCAATCGTAATTCGTCATTCATAATTCATTGTTCATCAATTATCAGTCACCACTCGTCATTCATCATTTATCATCGTCTTATGAAATATCCCTGAAAAACAACTGATACTATGTTGCTAACACGTACTTTTGTTCTCGGTGAGTAACAAATTCGACTACATTGCCTTCATCAAAGCTTGGAATGGGATGTGTGGTTAAATAGCTATATCCGGTGAATAATCGCAGTTTTAAAATGGAAAATCAATGCGTATACTTCAGTCTGACTAGAAGCACGCAGCGTTTTTGTTTTCTTTATGTTTTTCTAGGAATTGAAGGAATCCGTATTTAGGCTTAGATAAGTTACATGATGGTGCATAAACGAAAAGGCATGTTTACTAATGTCAGGATGGATTAAAAGTCGACCTTTTGAATCATCGTCATTAACATCGTTTTCGTGGTCATATTCACTAACACTATTCATCATCGTTTCTCAATCATTCAACAATCTTGCAATATTTTTAAGCACTCAGTTAAGCAATGATGTGTTGTAATCACGAGATTTGACTCACGTTCTTAAATCCCTATGTGAATTCGCGCACATGCTAATTAGCATAAGACTTTATCGTTGTGAATATTATTCTATTCTGCACAATTTCGAATAAACAAATATTTTTTCAAGAGTTACCTTCTAATTTTTGTTCACGATTAAGCTGACGTTTCGGCGAATTTCGCCTTCTTCAGAGCCTGGAAAGGTCAAGTTGATAGCAACTCACTCGGCCAGACGCCTCCATAACCAAACAAAGAAACTCCAAACCAAGATTTCAATCACTTTGAACACAGCTTTGCACACTCACCGCTTTCTATGAGGTTTCAAGAAATTGTTTCTAATTTCTAATTTCTTCTAATTTTTGTTTTTTTTTCTTCTTTGGAAGCACTTGTGTGCGTCCATTTCCTCCTTCCTTTCTGTTGAAGTGAAACATCGCCTATGATTTTTTCGCACACTTTTCGGTTTTCGGCGTCTTCATGATTGATATCAATATCCATGCGCCTGTGCATTAAAAAAGGTTTCTTTTTTAAATAGCTTTAGAAATCTCTCTGTTTTTACTGTATCAGTATGGAAAGTGCGCTTATCGATTAGCGCAGTTGAAGACACAATAGATTTTTTATTTGCTCCTTCTTTGCTTTAGAACTGCAATTTTTGAATGAGTAGATAAAAAATATAGGTGTAGGCAGAGATGTATACAACCATAAGTACCAGGATCCACTGATACAGTTTTGCACAAATATACATATGCACATATATTTACATATATGCGCGTATACATTATACATGTATACATATATGTGCGAAACTGCGTTATTCAACTGTACGCATATGTATACATATAAGTAGGTATATATACATATCTATGTATATATATGCGTATATATATATGTATATATGTATACATATAGGCATACATAAGCAATGAAGTCGCGTGAGTCATGTATGACTCACGGTGTCATCTATTCACTTAACATTGATTGATATTTTTGAGTATTTCACAAAAGGCGATTGATGAATAATCGCTATGTGCTCTCATATAAGTGGGAGCGGTTATGATTAGTTTTGAACACATGCCGATGTTCGACGCTGTTAACCAGAAACATTGAGCTGTGCCTCAGATTGTTTTTTTTCCTTAAAGTACCTCAGCTTTCAGCGAAGTAAACCATTGCAGGATCTGCTGTGCTGATCTATATATTCACGGGTGCTTAGTGGTGTTCTCCATAGTACACGAGGAACTTATTTGTGAGCCGAGACTCCTAACCACCGTTCATTTACTTTTCAGTCAACTAATTACACGCTTGTGGCCTAATCGACGTCCAAGGTGCAATCCTTGCATACATACGTACATATTTGAATGGATATGATGGATGTTGTGTATATCAAAGGTAGAAGTTAGTCTAACGCAGCACAGACGGCGGCCACATTACACAAATTTCTCTTAATCATAATAGAATGCAATTACTGAATAAGATCTCTTTTGATCCATCTATCCATTATCTGATGGCATAAACCATTACTTTGGAAAAAAATTTTCACGACGCTTTCTTGTGGCTGACGTTTCAGCCACTTCGTTCAGAGGTATAAGAATTCAAGCGGAGTGAACATCGTTTCTCTTTCACTGATAATAAAGAGCCGTTCTCCGTAAAAATGCACCACGAAGTAAACCGCCAAATACTTCTTTTATTCGTTGTTCCACATCACTAGATTCCATTATGTGCTACTCTGAAAACTCGCATAACGTGAGATACAACAATGCTGTGGAGATTGACTAGATTTGTTGTGGCTCTGAAATTACTTGTTGTCGTATAAGTCACAGTAAAAATCTGATGTTAACATCGTGCAAACATCCATGAACCAATATTCTAGTAGCTTATGAAGAGGTATTGAAAGTCAATTATTAAAAACAGAAGTATATGATGATGCGAACGGTTACGATTTTCTCTATTCCTACATTCTAACTGATCTATGTTTCTTGCAATTTCGTCGATGATCACTTGGAACGAAGGTTATTCCACAGAAAATCACTGTTTTTCTTTCCGATGAACTTTATCGGCTACCGTAATTTTCCTAGGCACTCACAATGCTGCAAACAAGTGGCGAATGATAGGACAACCTTTTCTAAAAAAATCTATTTTATATGTCAATCGCTTCATATGAATGAGCATGCAGTCGAACTATTGGAATCAATATTCCTATTAGAATATCGTTGAAGAAAAGTGATCAATGAACTATTAGAATATGTTTAATCCAAAGAACTTCATATAGTAGCAATTGTTTCTTTTTGCTTTCGTTTTTATTTAGTTAATGAAAAGCAAGAGCAGCAATCTGGCGGCTTATCAACGAAATCATCCAACACCATCGTTAGCCGATCGAGCAGTGGTTGGTCTGTGTTGGGCTCTACTACTTCTCACTTTTCCGCTATCGTTATTCTTTTGCGTGAAAGTCGTCAATGAATACAAAAGAATGGTGGGATTCTGATTGTTACAAGTAGCTTCACACCTATGAATCATTTACATTACTACAGTAGAAGTATCGAGAGATTTCAAAAAGTACGTTATAGAAATACGGAACGATATAGAAATTCATTATTTCGGATTATTGCAGGTAGTGTTTCGACTTGGTAAGATCTGGAATTCTCGACCGAGCGGTCCTGGTATTGTTTTAGTGTTTCCGTTTGTTGATCAACATGAAACTGTTGACTTACGGTAGATTGTGATTTATTTAGTAGTTAGAAAAGAAACCGGATGTCACATTAGAAATACTTACTCAAGTATTTTATTGAGTGAAAAATAACTTAAAGGTAATAAACAAAGCTAAAACGGATTAGAGCTGAATTAGCATCTTTTACATTTTTGACGGTCTACATCATTATGCCGAAAAAGAACGTGAAGCATTTCCCCAAGAAAGAGTCTTTGCACACGATCCACAATTTCCTTCGTTGACGTGAGCAAAGTATTTCTGGAATTCAGTGCACCGTACAGCGGCGATTTAATCCTACTATTAGAACACAGGATTTTTTATCCATAAACTGCCTAACCATATTTACTGTCAGAGTAGTGGATTTACTGTTTTTTGCTTTATTTTGGTAGTGCAAAGTTATTAAATCATGCATCGCTATCATTATCGTAGTGAACAAGATGATGAATACGGAAGTGAATATTATCATATCCATAGTGTGGTGGAAAATGTATCGGCGTGACTTGTACAAAATTGGCATATGTTTTGAAGAAAATTCTTGCGACGATTTCATTTTGTCGGGATGACTCCACATTTTCGGGAAATAAATGAGGGCCAGATGTAGTTCAATGAGCGTAGCGTTACAGAGAAATGGACAGGGCTGAGAATAAATCCAAAGTGCATCCAATTCTTAGAACATCCATCATTGTGAAGATATCGAGTTAAGATCGGTGATTCTCCGACTACGCTGTTATATAATAGCTTATTAAGGAAAATTCAGAGATCACTAGTAGACGGCTTGAAACAGTTTTTCAAATAGTTAAGTATATTACCGCTTTGATAAAGCACAATCGTGAGCAGAAGACAAAATCAATAGGAATTGTCTTAAAACTCTTATAATTTAATGTTTTAAGTTACCATAACCATATCTAAATTTACGATTGTACAATGAGATCATTATGAAAAAATTTAACTAATCGCTCACGAATGGCTAAGACATGCAGCATTCTTAGTAAATAAAAGCATGAGAGATCATACCACTACATCTAATTATTTTTTATATAATACAAATGAAGTAAGTTGCATGAGTGATAGTGTTAGCGTGTCTCAGAGGACATCATTAGATAAGTGATCACGTGCATTTGTTTCAATGCATATTCCTTCTGAGCACTTGTTTTGCCACAGAAAATTCACAGTTTTCCTAGTGCAAATGTTATGTCGGACACGGTTCGCAAGCCTGAAAGCAATTCTCTGCACTAAATCGTTTAGAAAAAGCTTTTTGGCCTCCACACAGAGTTGATTACCAAAATTTGTCTCACAATACAACACCAAACTTTTATAATAAATATTAAGTTATAATTCTTGTAAAAGCTGTTTGAATAGTAAGTATGCAATAATTTTCCAGTTATGCAATGAAAAACATCTCTTCAGAACAATGTCCTATGATGTGCCGACGCAAGAACTACTTACAAGGGATAGTGTGACAGTTTCTGTTGATGCAGCTGTTCACTACAGATCAAGGTGATCACTCGAGCTAGATTTATCTGAGAAAATGCAAAAATACTAGTGTTGTAAATACTGTGATCGTATTCAGTTTGTCATGAAACTTTTTTAAGGGATCCGATCGCATCTTTGTCAGAGGTTTATGATGTACATTATTCAACAAGACAATTGGCCCAGACTACACTACGAAATGTTCTTAGTATGAGAACTCTTGCCCAAATTATGACAGACAGGCAAACTAACGCCGCACATGTAAAGCACATTCTTAATAAAGGTTTGTTAGTACTCATTGATGGATTTAATGAACGCCTCGTTGTCTTTTACTACACCTGTCACCAAACATGTATAAACGGATCGGCTCCTATGGTGCATTCTTTGAAGAGTTCATGCAATACATCCGTATTGTGCTGCTTCGATTTTCCTCTTCGAGATACATTTTTTAAAAAAGGTATATAAAAGCGGATGTCATCCAGTTCTCACTGAATATTTTCAGGCCAATAGAACTGTAACATTTCTAGCCAGAAACCCAGTTAAGAGTTGGCGGATGCCAGTGTAGAGACCACCGGTTATTCCTCAATGTCTTCCTGCAAAATAATAGATAAAGGACACTATTCTATAGAAATATGAAAGCTTTCGTGTTCCGAATATAGGTGTCTATTTCAGTAACAGCAGTATGGGGAATTCGAGTAGAAAGGGTGGACATTAAAGATATTCGAATTCCACGAGATTTGTACATTGCCATGGCTGCAGAAGCGGAGGCAGTACGAGCATCAGAAGCGAAACTCATTTGTGCACATGGCGAATTAGGTGTAAGTAATTAACCTTATAACTTTCGTATCACGGTGTCTCATGGGGAGAATTACCTAGAAGGTTGTTTTAAATTTCCTCTAATTGAAATGATTTGCTTATTTTGATGAATACAGCGTATATCGGCTATTTATTATGTTCTTATATGAATCGGAAAGAGATTATCATCGTCTTGTGTGCCAAGTTAAAGCTGTATACTTGGTCAAATGTTTCCATAACTCTAAGGAAAAGACTAAGACGTAAATTAGACAAATTAGCCTTGGAAGCTACTGCCTCTACTTCATATATTTCCAGTTCCATATGAACTTCCTATGGTTAATTCGATTTGAGTGATTGAAAGCTATTCTCAAACCAATTTATTCCCATTTGTTTTGTCCAAAGTAGTTCTCAAATTGACCAAATTAGTACCTCAAGAGTCAAATCACAAGACTGACTTTCTTTTCACCTCGGCACTGGTCGGTAATTCACCGTTTCTCTTGATGAACAAACACAAGTTTATTATTACAGCAACTATTCATTCACAGCAGCTGACATTTCTGCGGTTTCACCTTCTTCAGAACCTAGAAAGATCAAAGTGACATGCAATCCACTCAGAGAAACACTTTCGTAACCTTAGCAGACAAAAAATAACACGTAAATTTCCAATCGAATAATAAACAGCTTTTAAACAATCGCCGTTTTCACTCATTGAAAGCCTAATACTAGGTCGACAAAAAGGTCTACTTGGCTGAGCTTTCGACGCCTTCGTCCTCCTCAGAGCAGATGATCCAAGTAGAAGTCTACAGTCGTTCGCCTTCTCTACACGTTGTGTTCATTGTCGTATCGAGTCGAATCTTCTTCAGTGAAGAGGTGGGATAACGAATACACCACATCGAGAGGACGAACGAATATGGACCAACGATTTTGATCATCGGCTCTGAGGAAGACGAAGATGTCGAAACTTCAGCCAAATAAATCTTTCTATCATCCTAGTGATAGGTTACCAGTGAAAGAATATATACTGACTACTTATGCCGGTGTTTAAGGAAAGTTGTTTTTTAAAATATTCACAGTTTCCTTGTTTGTGAGTCTTCCAGTTATTTGATGGACAGCGGCCACACAGAGTATTACATGGACAAGGAATAAATCTGGGTTAAGTGAAAAATTAGCCTGATGTATGGCACAAGGTCCCGCATTATCAAAAGGCGTTCCTTCTCGCTGTTCATTTTTGGAATTTTGGAATTTATCCAAAACTATTCAAGAGTTTTACGCCCTGATATCTTGAATTTATGCGCGGGGATAGTAAATTTTACTTAGAAATCTTCTCCGTCATGTCGCTGTCTGCTATGCGCGTCTTACGAAGTATCCGGTATAACTTTAAATTTATCGGCTAGACGTTTTTCTATATAGCCGCAGAGTGGTCTATCCGTTTCGTCAACGCATTCATCCCCACAGACTTTACAAGAGACTAGGTACGCCGTACTCGAACTCGTGCAATCACCGTCTCTACCCTTAGTAAATATTTTGTAATTGTGCGTTGTGCATAGACTGTTATACGTGCGCCTACGTACTAGCTCGTGTCTTAGAGTGTTTGGCAATATTTTAATCACTATTACCAAGTTCTTTAGAATGTCCCTTTTCAAACAACTTTTTATAGCTGCACCCACAAATGACGAGTGGGATAAACGACACCTTATTTTCGGTAGAATTAACATTTGTTAGCGTGGTTTTTTCTCTACAGCTAACTCGAGGAATTTCGTAGTCATTGAAAATGGGTTTCTGCCGCTCCATTTTTAAGGATTCTTCCTACTGCTCTCTTCTTGTGCTCACAGTGGTGGTTGTTCGAAACATGCTTCTTACAAGCGCTGTTTTTCTACAAGAGGAATAGAAGAGTGTATGCAATCTACTCATGGTTTCTTTGGTTCCACTGATGAGAAACTTGGACTCAACGCTATAAGCGAATGAGCGCTGCGTTGTAGAGTTATGCCTCGTAACACGATCACCTTTAACATTTCTGGTGTGTTGTTGAACTTAGTTTGACGCTTGCTGCTTTCGTAAATGGTGTTTTTTTGTTTTAGTAAAAATGAGCAATTCGATAGTTTAGTATACTTTCGAATTTTATGCTTGCCAACTGAAAACGTCTAGATCTCCAAGTGGTATCGCAAGGCGAATTAATAAGAGCATACTGATTCATTACCTCTTCTCTCAAATCTCACACACAAAAAGGGCGCTTGTGGTAAAAACGTTTCAAAAAACAGGCACTAGTATGTGCATGTAAGAAGAGAAGAAGAAAGAATCACTAAAATATACGCGGCAAATAGCCATTTCTAGTGGCTGGAAACCGAAGCTCCTATGGATAGCTGTAGGAGAAGTGCCACGTCTCTAAATGATGATTCTGTTAAAATAAGGTCTCTTTTATTTTCGTCTTCATTTCCAACAAAATAAATGCAGCTATAAAACGTTGCTTAAGAGAAGCCGGTCTACAGAAATCGGAAACAGTGGTTGAAAAAGCGCCATTCTTTGGTGCCAGCTAGTTCCTAAATGACTACATGACCGTCTACGTACAACGTTCAATTGCACAATTTGCCCTTACGGCAGAGACGGTGACTGCATGAGTTCGTGTACGATGTACCTAGTCTCTTCTAAATCGTGTGAGGACGTATATATTGGACGGGTAGGCCACTATGCATCCGTGTAAAAGAACGTCTAGCCGGCAAATTTAAGATTAAACCGATTACTCCACTAGGCCCACATAGGACACAGAGGCATAAAGGAGAAGCTTTTGAAATAAAAGTCGCTATCCTTGTCTAGGAATCGAAAACATCAGAGCGTGGAAATCCTGAAGCGTTTCGGATAAATTTCAAAAAGCCCGAAAATGAACCATAGGGAAGAGTGCCTTCCAATCATACATAACCTAGCGCCGTACCTCACGCTGATTCTTTTAGCTGAGCGAGCCACATCCCTCGCCCGTGAAAGCTATTGTGCGACAACTCCCCATCAAATAACTGGGAGACTTACAAAGAACAAAGCAGTGATTGTTTAAGAAATGCTTTTAATATGCTAATGGGAATTTATGTATTTCGCTTTATCTGCCGAAGTTATGGAAGTGTTTGGCTGAATGGATTACCTATTAATTTAACTCTTTCAGGCTCTGAAGAAGGTGAAACTATTGTTATAACAACCTTGCGTTTGCTCATCAAAAAGGGCTAATTAGCACCGTCAGAAACATTTGATAACGCTGCCGATGTGTTGCTAGAGAGCACCTGACTTCTCGAAATTCTAAATTGCCATTTTTCGGAACTTCATGAGTAGTTAGTAGTGGTGCAACTGAGAGGGGATAGATCAGCGGTATTCACGCTGTTCACTACACCGCAGTCGTAAAATTGGTTCCAGACTTGTTTAGAATGAGTTCGCTTCCTTCAGTCCACAAAACTGGCAACTAGTTTTAACGAAGATCTAGAAACCTCCAAGCACGCCCATCCTAGGATTTCAACAAGAATCACCTCGGCGATCATTCAATGACATCCTAAAAAGGATCAAATTCTTCAAATAGCAACCGAATCCAACCACAAATTCTGAAGACCTTCGCATATGACGGATGAGACGAAACGAATGAAATGAAGTGGTGCTAGATGCTGCAAAACTGTCATATCGTGTCGCATGAAATATTAACAAAATAAATGAGCATAAAATTACCATTGTGAGCAAGAGAAATGATGATGGAAAGAATTCTGCCTACAGGTTTTCCAAACTTTGATCTTTCCGACTTTCTTCTCACAGAGCAAGTTCACAGAGAATTTTTTTTAAAAATATATAGTTTTCCTTTACTCTATAGTTCATTTTTCTAACGAACAGGCTTCTGTCGCACTACGTCGCGCTGCAGATGAACTTGCTTCGTGTCCAGCCGCCATGCAGTTAAGGTTCTCTTATTTTGTTACGCTCCACTTTTGATGTTATGCCATTTGTTTTTTCCAACATCGCTTTGTACTAATTAGTGCTCGGTTTTCTTTTAGGTATATACATTCACTTCTAAAAATATCTGCACATCACAACCATACTATCGTCTTGCCATTGCCGACAGAACTTGTAAAAACCGTCACCGACTCAGTTAACCTTCAAAGAAGGTCGTAAACCGTCATACGAAGATGTTTTACCAAATCAGTGATGCAAACAATGTATCAATTCATAGTTACGTTTTTTCCCCAAACTATATACTTCATATCGTTAAAATGTTTTCCAAAAATAAAACAGTATTCTAAATTAACTTGTCGCTCGTCTTTAAGACAAGATTACAATTAAAATTTCCCAACTAATTCAGTCACAAAATCAATAGAAGAGATTTCCACGCGTAGAAATGGCTTATGTGCTTCGGAAGTGCTAAACTGTACACTTAGAAATACACGTGAGTAATGTAGTCTTTAGAGACGTCCTGCAACACAAATGTGCTCATTGGTTCCATCGCACCTCGCGATCACACTAAGCTCCTCATTATTTCGGAGTCAACAAATTGGTACTAGACTGGCCTGAGAGAACAAAAAAGGATGCTGACTTAATAGGCCCCTCAATAGGCCAGGTATGAAACCACTCACTGGCGCGAAGCTAGGTATGGAGTTAAATGCATGGCGCATTCCTTCTATGTTTAGCTCAATTATGGAGCTCAATAGCTCAATTAAACATAATGAGGAATACAACTTTGAATCAGAAATAAGTACACATCGACTAGATAATACAGTAAAGCGACATGATTCAGTGTTTTTTCTAGTCGCATTGGACACCTGCACCTTGCAGGTGTTTCATACTACAGCAGGTATTGTTGTGACCACATACGAAGTAATCAACGAGTAAGAGAAAGACACTGGTACTAATTGATGTTACGTGTAGCTGCTTTTTCTTCGGTTCTTCATCATTTTACCTTTTCTATCGTGTTCAGCCATAGCGACATGATTAATTAGATGCAGAGTAATGATATGGTATAAATAGATTTATCGACAAAACGAACATTTAGAAGCCGCTACAATCACTACATACGTACTATTAAAATGTGGTTATAATGCTACGCATATGAATGACCTTTTGGATAGCATAAAGGTACATATTGATCGAAATGCAAAGTACTTATTTAATATGTTCAACAATGAACAACACTTCAGTCGAGAAATCTAACGAAATATATAGTTATATAAATCGACAAGTTCGAGGAATCTTTTTATATGATATTAAGATGATAAATAGAAATTATCTAAGCCGTAATATATCGCTTGTCAAATGATCATCGGATAAATAATGATGATGAAAAAACCCTCTAAAACATCTAATAAATCGTGAGCTGCACTCAATGTAAAAAATTTGAAAAGTACCGTATACAACGTAGCCGTAATAGGTGTCGCAGTAACAAACAATAAGCGCCAAAACATTTAATGTAGTAAAAGCCAATCTGTAGTGACAGTTCTGATGGAATTGCCCAATGAATCTGTCAAGGAAGTTTTAGGAACAACTTTTTTCCTAGTGTATCACAAAAATATTACTTGTTATTAGAAAAGTACGAAGGCGACGTAGTAATCAGTTGCCATCAACTATTTGTAGTACTGTTTCATGACCGCCCCCCACGAACTTTATTGGTTTCTTGTTCCAACAAATCGCTTCTAATTCACTGGAAACGATAAGACATTCTTATATAACACCACTAGTGTGTGATATGATATCGCTATGACTAAACAAAACATCGTTTCCATGCGCTCATTCTCTCTTTTCTTTTTTCTTACGCAGCTCCATCTGTTGGAGATGTTTCTGACAAAGAAAAAACTCCAAAAACTTCAAAAACTATTGCGCACTAAATTTATAGTCTTACATCGAGAATGAGATCAGAGATGAAAGATTTCAGTTCATATGTACAATTTCTATAATCCTCAAATCATCCAAATCGACCAAATAACTGACTATCTTCAGTCACCACAGTTTTAGCTATTTCATGTCGAAACTCCGAACAGTTCCGACGACAATGCACTACTTTTATTCAAGTAACACTAGCATGCTAGCACGAAAATCGTATGAAGATAAACTTTTCCCGAGAACTGAGAACGAAACGATCTCACAGGGACGTCATTTGCTCCTCCATACCATCATAGTCTTCCTCAACCATTACCAGTTCACTATCAGAATAATATGATTCCTCTGAAAGTCCCCGATAAAGCCTATCCTCGTGGTATCCTGAAATAATGTGACAATTGAGATAAAAAGAAAAATGACGAAGAAAGGCAGAAAAAGAGAAAAAGAACGAACCGCTTTCATCCGAAATACTATCAAATTCGAAAGAACTCGTATTGTTACGGTACATTTCTCTATCGAAACAAGAGAGACATGAGTCCAGAACATTTGTTGACGGGTCTGAACATCGTCATTAAATCACCTATGTTTTATTACATGGGAATGTGAATGAGTATAACACAGTATATCTTCCATTTCTATTTTTCTATTTCAGTTTTCACCTAAGTTCTCCTAAATTTTTTTAACCCATTCCTCACCGGGCTACAGTATTTCTAGGGATCGCTATAGGGAACATCGCGTGGAATGGGTTAATAATAAGTATGGATAAAATACTCGACCGAATGTAATAATTTAACTCAGCTATGTAATAAATTTTTAGAACTTTTAGAAACTCTGACACATTTTCACCTACCTTCATTGATTTCTAGAGTATCGTCGGTCGACGTTTCTGTTGTAGGACTGCCCGAAATGCTTCTTGATACCACTTCGGGATGTGCTTGATAACAGACGGTTTCGTTGTCGATTTCTCCATCCAACTAGACATTCAAAAATACAGTCCATGTAGTGATATTAAACTTGAAACAACATGTTTATAACCGGGTTCGCTCTTCAAAGACTACTGACCGATGGAGCCAACAAATTATTGCGCAGATTTTAAAGGAAGTCTTCCTCAAATATATATATACATATATATATATATATATATATATACATATATATATACATATACATAGTTAGAAACTTGGATGGCGGGTCTTCAGTGGTTGTGCGGACACCAGCATACTGTCCATTTTACGGAGTTTTGATGGTTTACCCATTGTCGCTTCCTGGAGTGCTGAGGTCAGCCAGGCCAAAGTCTGCCTCAGGTTGTTACCACCACAGGTAGTTGCCGACTTTGTGGACTAGAGGGAGAATTGCCACCATGCGATTAGTTTGATACCAGGACGGTGGTGGATCCTGGTATTGGTTTCTTAGCTGGACGTCTTGATGGGAACGGTGGACACTTTCTCAGCTTTGGAGACCCAGCTGGAGAGATGAATATCGTCGCTGTACATCGTAGCCCGACATCCACGAACACCTCTCACCCACGATAAGTCAACGAAACGTTGGGAGAATACATAACTATACATACATAAGGTGCGTGTGTGGCGTAATGGTCGAAGGCGGCCTGTAACACACATGTGGAATCGATACGCTCGTTCATGGCTCGCCAAGCCTTTCATGCCCCGGGGTCGGAAAATTGGCACCAGGCTTGTCTGAGAGGATAGCAGCACTGGCTCAATACATCGGTAGGCCATCGCGAGTCATTGTAAAGGCCAGATATGCATTCAATCACCTCCAAACGATGCTTAATGAAGCCGACTGCATGGTGTATCCCTCAGGGATTGATCAACGCAGAGAGCTTTACCATTTTAGCTTTATATATATATATATATGTATATATATATACATATATATATGTATATATATATACATATATATATATATTGCTGGTTAGTGAATACTAGATAAAAGTAAAAGACATTACCTCTTGTTCTTCGTCAATACTTCCTAAGCGTGGCGCCGATTTTGAACGGCAAACCGGTGGACGAAAATTCAGACTACCAGAATGCAGGATACGTTTGCGTTGTGGACATCCGCCCAAGCCGACCAGACGAGCATTTTGAAGAGCCAACTTTTCACGTCGATATTCCTTAAAGAAATAAAAGAAAGATAATTAACATTTCTAGGATATAAAGCCAGATAAACTACTAGATTTATCAAATTCAAAAATAAAATCTTTTAAAAGAGCGGTGAATCTAGTCGTACATCGTTCTATTCTGATTTTTACGATTACGAAACGACGTCACAGCGGTGCTACTATGCTGACAAAACACGCAAATAGTAACCAGTTTTCTAAGTTACACAATCAAAGACAGTGTTTTTTTCCACCTTGACAATGCCGACATTATTTCTTACGGTAACCATAAGAAGTTTCGCACGTATTATTTAAAGAGGAAGAGAGATTTCCCAAACGCCAGAAATGAAACATTATCAACAAAGTGTTAACCATTTATTTAGTGTCTATTGCAATTTCTCACGGCGGTGTATTATGTGTGATGCAACCACAATGATGTTGAGATATTTACAAAACTTCGGACCGCAGGTGTTTACGGTGAGGAACGAACGCGCTACTACTATTTCCGGGAGCTAATGCGCTCACCACCACACCATTCGAGACCTTCGTTTCGCCTGTCTATCAGCTAGTTTTCTAACGATCAGTACCATCAGCAAACACCCCTCAACGGGACTGACCTGGAGAGCTCAAATCGGCAATGAGCCCCGTTAAACTGAGGCTGTAGTTGAAATCACAATGTTAACTTTTTATTTGTTGCCTACTACAATTTTTCAAGGCAGGGTGCTATGTGAAATACAACCGCAACGATACTGGAGATGTTTGCTCCGGACCGCAAGTGCCCGCGTTGGGGAACGGACGCACTATTACCCTTTCCTGGGGCTCGCATGACGTTGTGGTGAACGCTTTAACCCCCGGAAAGGGTAATGCCGTGTTCGTTCCCCACCGCAGACGCCTGCGGTCTGGAATTTTGTAAACATTTCAGCATTATTATGATTATCAACAAAGTTCGCTAAAATAATCTCAACTAAAAGTGCTATTTACGGTTGAATATAAACACTCAAGATGTTCAGATATCAACGGCAGATCTCACAGAAGCAGTAAATTCTTGCCACTTCTATGAGATTCCTTTCCTATAGGACGTTTGAACTTAGGCACTTGGCATTGATCTATCTCCTGGAGGATGCAACGTATATCCGCCTCAATTCGTGGCATGGCAGAGATGATTTAATCTATCTCCCCTCACCGCCACCCCTCATCTGGATGTGGCTGATGCCAACTTGCTGATTCCGTAGGCCTAGGGTTTGGTTAATCCAGAGCGTTGGATCGAAAACCAACGACGTTGTGTCTGTTGCAGGACGCCTCTTACCCTTGAGCTTCATACGCTCCCATTAAATATATATCATATTATATATCACTACCACTGTTCAGTCACTGAAAATTACCTGTAGGGCTGCATGCAAGAATTGCCTCAATTTTGTATGTATGGTTAGTGGATCGTGTGACCTTTTGCACAATACCGCATGACATCGAAGCTCAGGTTTGAGCCTAAATCGCAGTTGATTCTACTCTTACAAAGAAGTTCCAAAACACAGAATTCGCTCAATATAGCAGGACAAAATCGATAAAAAGTAAGCAAGGAAAGACCGTTTGCCGTCGTGTTTGTAAATCCAACAAAATACTTTCGGATATTGTATAGGAGCAGCAGAAGAAGTGATACGATGTGCCCAGTACTCAGTTAGACCTTGTTCCTTTGTCTCGGCCTTCAAGCCGGATCGAGTGATCTGAATATTAATTACCATCTAGGAAAGTTTATTTACACCATGTGTGTTGATACTAATCTTAATGACAAATAATACATTTTAAAGGTAAGCTCTCAGAAGTTTATTTAGAGGCAGCTTTAAAGAAAACAGTTATTATCAACTTAAACTTGAACCATCAACATGTTCAGCGCTTTACTTATTTAATAAAACACATAAGTTAGTATCCACTGATAATCTTGCGTGTATCGATTCATCATTATTCAAGGTTGGAAAAATCAGCAGCTGTGTAGATGAGCCAATGGATGGAATAACATGGTTTCTATTCTTACCCAATTGTTTGAACACATTCCAGCTCATTCCAGCGACATTCAAATGTTCCTAGAACGTATATGTAACGCGTTTCCTAACAACGCGTACATGATGGAGTCTTTCGACGTGACCGCTCTTTATACAAACGTGCCGAATGACACCGTAACACTAGTCGTCCTCGAACTCCTTACGCAATTCAGAGAAGCAGTAAACATGCATGGCTTCTTGATGAATCAAACAGCTTACGGCCCACCTAAAGGAGTACTTAAGTTGTCCAATAATTAGATGGTCCGAGATGTATTTATAACAAATTTATGGGTGGGCAATGAAACAGCGAATGGCACCAAGCCTTAGCATAACCTTTATGTCTAGAGTGGAATCACCAATAATCTATCTCAGGCCCCTCCACTACTGTAAAAATATAGATGGTTGTTTTGACATGCGCTCCACACAACAGGAGATGGACAAATGTTTTCAGGTAATAAATGAACAATCAGAGCAGATTAACTCTACCCGAGTAAAACCGAAAAAATTTGGCTTCCATTTCTGGACGCTCAAATTAACCTAACGAAGACGGGTTAGATCACCAAATGGCACTAAAGGCCAAACAACAAAATATACTTCATTCATCACTTATACAGTCCCTTCTCTTACACAAAAACAGCGCTTATGAGAGACATGTTTCGAAGAGCCGCCACTGTATGCACAAGAAGAGACCAGAAGGAAGAATCTCCGAAATTGGCACAGTAAAAAGCCATTTCCATTGGCGACGAAACTTCAGTTCCTCGAAATAGGTGTGGAGGAAAAACCACGTTAACAAACGATAATTCTACTGCATAAGGTCCCGTTTACCCTACCGTTCATTGGTAATGATATGCGCCCAGCCATCAAAAGTTGTTTGAAAAGGAACAGTCTGAAGAATTTGGTAATAGCGACTGAAATATTGCTGAACACTCTCAGACGCCAGCTAGTTTGTAAGCCAATATGCCCGTCTAAACCCAACGCAAAACTACAAAATATGTCGTAAGAGTACAAACGGTGACTGCATGAGTTGAGGTACGGTGGACCTGATCTCATGTGCGAAGACGAACAATGTTGGCGAAATCGGTAGACTACTCTGCATCTGTGTAAAAGAACACTTAGACGGTAACGCAAAGCTAAACAAAGTACTCCTTTGGACGTGCATAAGATAAAGAGACATAACGGAGAAGATTTCGAAATAGAAGTTACCACCGTCGTACAGGAAACGAGAACTTCAGCGCGCAAAGCTCCTGAAGAATTCTGGAAAAATTCCAAGAACGCACCGTAGTGAGAACTGCTTCATTACCATGCATAGTCTCATACAACATCTCATACTGAGATTTTAACGTGAGGGGGCTCACAACCCATTCATTTGAGCTCCACACGATTACTCTCCACGTGAAATACTCAGTTGAAGACCCGTAGAGACGGTTAGTGTGTGAAGAAGTTGTTTTGCCTCCAATGCGATTGAAATCTAGATATCGTGGTCTTTCTGTTCAAGTTATGGAGGTGTTTGACTGAACAGAATGCGGTTAACTTCACCTTTTCAGGGCGAGAACAGGGCGAAACCTATCAAAACGTGAGTTGTCAATAAATAACGTATAATAACAACATCATGTGCTGTGATCAAAAAATTACCAAATAGTGTCTAGTATTCGGACTGAAAAGGCTTATTTTGTGACCTACATCTAAATTCATGCCGAGATCTGCAGCGGTCCTGCTGCAATACGCCCTCCATATGAGCGCCAGTGGTTTATCAAAGCAGTGTTCACCACCAGCCAACACAGTAAGTACATTTCCGAGATAGATGACATTATAGGAGTCATCAGGCGGATTAATTACGTATCTAAAAACTGTACATATACTACAAATATTTGTTACTGCTTTATTGATTGATATAATGTGCTCAACTAACCGCTGACTCTTCTTTCGAAATGGGAGTGTGAAGAAGTGTGACGCTGACGACGAAACGTTAATCACGGGCATCTGAAATAGCAGGTGAATAAATGAGATGACTTCAGCTATAACTGAGTTAATGGTTTTCCGAACTTCTTGATAGTCAGTGCAACCACCGTGGATATGGCTTAATTTCACAGACATAGTGCAGAGATCAAACTAAGACTCGAAATGTCACACTTATTGTGTGGCGAAAACAATCAGTACGCACTCTTAGCATGGCGTCTACCTTAGAACACCGACTAAGTGCTTGGACACTGTATGAAAAAGCACTACTTACAGGAGCACAAATGCTGGTTCCACTTTGACAAGAACTGTGTCTACTACTGATTTACAGTCAGCGTATGTTAACAACTGATATAATAACATGAAATATGTGCGATATCAGCATGGAATTTGTCCAAATAGGAACCTGTACATGGGAGAGTTCGGGTGAAAAAAAGATCATAACTGAACTCTGCCTAACTCAGTCAACTGCCTCTATTTTCAACAACTCTTAGACAGCATATAGTCGACGTAGAAAACCAATCCTCGAAGGAATGTTATGATTGCCGATAGTTCACGCACTTCCTACTGTATATAATGCTATGTTTTCATGCGAAATGTCCCTCCTTATGTCATTGTAAACTATTTAATGTTAGATAAATGCCAAAACGATAAGACCGAATCTCAGGAATGAAACTAGCAAGTAGAGAAATACAAAAAAAAATTGGGTTCACAGTATAAGGCTAGAGGTTTCATTACCTTTACATCTACTTTTTATTTTCTTTTCATTTTATTTCATATGAGCCGTCTTCATGTCTACTGTGCGGAACCCAGCACTTCTCTAACCACCAAAACCTTTCAATTTTTACCTTTGGCTTCGGTTCCTGCTTGAGCATTTTCATTTCATCTTGAATGTTGTAGAATGCTTGTCGAGCAATTCTCTCTGGAATCCTGAGATTACCGGACTGGAGCGTTCCTGATTGGATTGCAGAGAGTGATTTTCTTATTAGACAAGTCCGGTACTAATTTCCCGACCCCGGAGGGATGAGCGGCTTGATTGGCCCGGAGCGGAGTGGAACTAGCACTATACCCGCGATGACGGCCATCACTACCACTGTGTTATTCGCCCATTGAACTGTAACTAAAGTTTAGTTTAGTTACACCTATTACTACCCCATAATCTGAAAAAAACGAACGAAGAAAAAATGACGATTTTTGGAACTGACATGCGAAATATTATTTAGATATAACCTTGTAGAAATATTTTGGCACAGTATCCTAAAGATATAAGATCTCGTACTTTAAATATGTAAGTTACAGTAGATTGTAAGAAAACTCGGCAGCAATTAAAGTTATGTGATAGCTTCATGCTGAACAAATCGACTGCCATTAGTTGCTCAACAGAAATAAGTGCTAAGCAAAGCAATGAATTCCATTCTACCGCAAGTCATCTTATTGCAAAGCAAGTTCTAAGAGATAAGCGTGCAATATTTAAAACTTGACGACCATATTTAACTGACGTTCTATTTTTATTCTATTACGTCAATACCCGTGGAATTCATCTGCAGAATGACTAATGATTACGGTACGGTTCTCATCTAGCCTTAGCATGGAATCGAACTGGCCACAATTTAAATGTGAAGGATGATCCGTTACAGTACACTATGTAGCATGTTAATGCCTTCTGTGTTCTGTCAGTGTATTTATAAGCCCAGTTATGGCGTTTGATAGGAATTCTATGTACTTTTCATTGATTTTAAGAAGTTATGATTAGTATTTTTGCAGAGAAACAGGTTATTCTAGATGAAAAAAGAGCAACACCTTGTGGTATTAAATTAAAACTGCAGCAAATTACTTTGTTACACAAGAGAAAAGAAGGAACCAGTCCGTTCAAACAATGAGCTGCTTTAAATTTTCCCGATTTAATAGTGCAAAATATTCCCTCCTGATTTTTACTACGACTGAAACGTAGTCTTCAGCTGAGCAATCACAATTTACTTCATCTCATCTACAAAAAGCTCTGATCACTGACACATCTATATCCAAGCGTGACGTGAAAATCTTGCAAACGCGATATTTTCGCAGTGTAACTGAAAACTTCTCTTGTAATTTTACTTCAAACAATTCCATTATTATAAGAACTAGCTAAACATAATTTGGTATTGCGAGAACAAACCCTATAGGTGTTTAAATGAAGCTGTTTCTTATGCGAATACAAATTTATTTGTTAAGTCTTGTCTGCTGGGGTTATGAAAGTGTTTGGCTGAGTAGATCGCATCTCAATTTGACCTTTCCAGGCTCTGAAGAAGGCGAAATCACCGAAACGTCAGCTATTGTATCCTAATAAATCCTATAGTAACAACTTCGTGTCTGCTTATTGAAGAGAAACATCGAATTATCAATCAATGCCGAGGTTAACAGAAAGTCGATCGTGGCAAACCCATAGTATGCAGTTTTTTAAGGCTGGAAGTTTCTCTCGCTGTCGAAGTGAGATGCAAATGGGGATTTATATTCTGAGGCAAGTTACCGTTACTGGAAAAGAGTTCAACATCTCCATCCAGGGAATCCCTATCTCTTTACCGACGATAGGTGGTGGTAGGACAAGTGGAAACAAATACAAAAAAAAGACACTGTAACAACATCTGAACCAGTTGCGATTTTTATAAATCCTAACTGTCGGAACAAACCTAACAGATTCACTGAATTTTGTAGAAAAGAAAAACTTACATGAACATTTAGAGACATCTGCGCCAAAATTATATGAGCAACCTTACAAAGACAACCTTAAATTATAATTAATAATCTACTACATTCAACCAACGACCAGTTTTACTAAAGATCTATAAGTCTACTTTTCAAGCGAATAATGGATCCGGCTTACGCCAGGTGATACGGAAGGAGACAATGCTAATAGTAGTATGGGGTAATGCGGAACTATGTAAACGGATATATACGGATAGAACACACTACTGTGACTCCGAACAACATGAAAAAGACTTGCAACATAACACATATGAACTTTCGCCAAAACAATTCAGAAGTGAGAAAAAGCCAACATTTTCTGCTAAGCGCATCAATTGATGCAATAGACAACGTCATCATATCGTACTAGAGGGCTTTAAACAAATCGGATCTCTTCACTACAATGGCTTTTCAGAAGAATAATTTTCCAAGAATGGCGTATAACAAGGAAAATCTTACGTTTCTTTTATCCGTTAGTACTTGAAATCCAGGATGTGGGGATACATGAATAATGCTGAACAGTAATAATTAAATGCTCCTCATTCTTAGAAATCCAGCAGCACTGATGATCTGAAATCGAAAATATAAACGTGAATAATATTCGAAGCAAAATAGTAAGGTAATCTCACGAGTAGTGATGACAAGTGTAAAACACTAGACAGGATGAAGATCTATAAGTCTACTTTTCAAGCGAATAATACACTTATACAAAAAAGTACTATGAAGGGACGGAAATATTGGAATAGATTACAATCTGAGATTATTTTAACTGCTAACTATATAGGTTTCTAAATGTGCATTTTCCATTCCTACATAGAATTCCATTCTCAAAGGCGACTCGTACCTTTCGATATGTACTAACACAGTTAGATTTACTTAGTAGCGCAATTTGGACGTTTAAAGGTTTGCTGTAATAGATATTTAATCGTCAGTTCGATCCCGCACCTTCGACTGACCAAGCAGTAATCCCTGATAGGTCCACTAATTGGTACCAGATTTTTCAGGGAAAAAAAAGGAAGACAAAACACTGCGTACCACACCTACCATAAGTTATTGTTAATTGGGAACTCAATTACGTCTACGATAAGTTTGACGTGCGTCGCATCCCTAAGGGATTAATCAACGCCAAAATATTTTTCCTTTTGTCCCTTCAACAATACTTAAGAATAAGCAAATCAAATCATGAATTTGATGCTCCCAATGGTGTTATGGTCGTTGCCGGTTTACGGTGGAGTTTTGATCTCTTCAAACCTTTCGAAATACTATTCTACAAGCCTTTTTCCTTCTTAAACAGTATTTATTCCCTTTATTATGCGCACATACTTCTGATTCAATTTAACAAACAAGAAGGTTCAGCGGTTTGAATAAATTGCTGCGACTCCGAAATATTCAACCATCGACATTCAAACGGAACAGTTAACTATCATCCATCAATGCCAAAACGATCTGCAAACGTGCACTTCAAACGTTACGACAGAAGAGCAGCACAAGTGGCACTGTCAGTGCTCTGTAACATAGACGAAAATTCGTCACTATGCAACTAAATTTGTTTCATAAAGGATAAAAGGAAAAATCTTTCGGCGTTGATCAATCCCAGAAGGATGCGCCTTGCATTCGACTTCATTAAGCATCGTTGGAAGTGATTTAATGCATATATCTGGCCTATACAATGACTCACGGTGGCCTACCGATGTATCGAGCCATTGCTGCTATCCTCCCAGACAAGTCTAGTACCAATTTGCAGACCCCGTAGCGACGGTGGGCTTGGTGGGCCTTGGGGGCGCAGGGATCCATCCCATGTGCATTTCAGAGCGTCTCCGACTACTGCGTTACACGCTTCTCTCTTTTTTTCATAATGGGAATAATTCTCGGCGGTACGGAAGACTACACGGTCTGAACTTCGTGTTGTAAACAGAGTTCAACACCGAGAAGAATCAAGACCTTAATGTGCACGAATAATTGCGGTTTTAACTCATACGGTCACAGTTTTTTTGCTATGTTATGGTCAACAAAAACCACAATTGTTTTTTCTGCACTTAGGGAGCTACGTGAGTTGATTTCCACTCATACAGTGAAAAAATAACAACCGCTTTCAAATTTAAATCTACATGCCTCAGCTCACAGTGAATTTTATCAGTTGTGGTGAAAAGTATTGGAATTAACAAAAGCTAGCCTACAGAATAAAAGTTCCTTTGTGTTACCATAACGAAGCTATGATTTTCTGGAACCAACCAGACGTACGTTTTGCCTTGATTTTTCGTCAAAGCTCATACTAAACAAGCTGTAATTCATTCATTCAAAAA